TAGTATCTGGCGGGTCTGACCAAGAGTATTTGTGTCATGGATCACATCATACCCTGATTTAACCGTGTATAATCCATATTTCTCCAAGCATATCCGTGTAGGTTAAAACATATGCTAGGTTTCAATCCCATTATTCGAGCGACGTCCTCCGGATGGAATAATTCCCGGAGTGTTGTTTCATGTGCTTCACCGGTTCCGCGGAGGATTTTTTTTTTCTGAGCTTCCCATATCCGACTGTTCCCCTGTGGCTATTGCCTTCCCTTTCCCCATCTCATCAGATTTCTTGTGAAGATTTAGACGGAAAGGCCTGTTACGTTGATGGTTTGGGGACATTTATCCCTGTTTTGCCTTCATATGGCTACGGGGCAAGTCCGACATGGTTCTTTGTGAATCATAGGATCGTAGGTCCACAGGTTCCAGTGCCTGAGCAGAGATCGTCAGCTTGTTTTTCTCCTTCCGGGGAGGCACATCGCTATCCCTTTGGGTTTCTCGTCTCAGCGTACTGCGTGCAAAAGACTCCTCACATCTTCTCTTTCGGTAAGTATCCTTTGGGAGCTGAGATGGTTCACCAACGACGCGCTCCGTTCCATACTTTCTGGGCAGGTACTGCTCACGGTAAGAGCCATCTCGAGATTCTAAACGTCCCCACACGTTATCTATGGTGTGGCTGGTTTGTGGTCGCGGTTCAGCTCTGAGCCTGTGAGGTTCTTCTTCCTTCTCCTTACCTGCTCTGTGAGATCTCCTCTGGTCCGTTGGGGAAAGGACATGTCTTCTCCTCATCTGTGAGGGATCCGTGGATCTATCAGATGGGATCTGATGTGTCACTTCCCGAAGCCTGCTCGTCTCCTCTCTGGAGATGTTTTCCGGCTCTCTTGCAGTAGCTCTTAAAGCCAGCTTCTCCCTGCGTTGTTGCTCTGATAGTAGTGGACAAGCTTTTTCTTTATGTGAGATCCGATGACAGGTATTACACCATCGAAACAATTTTTCATACTGCATATAACTATGTATATTTATATATTTGCTGAATTTTTTTTAAATTACCAATTTTTTTTTTGGTCGATTACCAGTTTTTAGTTATTCAAAATAACATTGTATTTTTAAGTTTTATTGAATTTTTATAAATTAGGTTACCTTACGGTATCGTTTAGATTGAAAAACGCTACGGTTGTAGGGGTGGATCCAGAAGAAAAATTGTATAGGACACAAATAAATTAGGCAACGGATTTATAGAAACGAAACGTTTGGAAACATGGAAACAATATTAAAAAAAACAATTACGCAACGGATACATTTTGTTAACGCACAGACAC